ACTAATAGGAACAACCTACACCAACATTAACAGCAATAATAAAAGTACCAACAACTTCTAGAAGAGCCACAAAAAGAAATAGAACATTCAAACAACAAACAAAAATAGAAGAACAAAAAACAAGAAATCTCTAGAAGGAACATAGAGGAAAAGAGAATACACAAACTAATAACATATACATAAAAAATAGAAAAACGCAGCCAATAGAGGGAGACATTTAACAACAACAACACAAGGAAAGGACAAATAGCATAAACTAAAATACCATGAAAAGAAAAGAAACAAGCAACACCCAACAATGAAAGAAAGCAAAGAAAAACTTGCAGAAGTTATTTCAAAATACCATCTAAAAATTATGAATAATGAATAATCACAATGGTGATATTTAAAATGATAAACAACAACAAGTCAGAAAACTAAATACAAAGATTGAAAAGAACAATAATAAAAGCCATCCAACCAAAAACAAACTAAATTAAAGAGGAAAACAAAAAGAAGAACAATACCTCTCAGAAATAGAACTACAAACAAAAGAAAAGAAAAACATATCTACAGAAGATCAGATTTAAATCCATAAAAATTAATGATATAATCAGGAAAATTCCTCTTAAATATGACCATCCAATGAATATTACAAAGAATCAAATCTAAAGGAGTAGATGTATTTTTTAATATTCTTGAATTCCTTTCAATCCATATGAAATAAGTAGTAATTTACAAAGTAAGAAGGTACAGTCTTTTAAAAATTTTATAAGAACTACTTTGATAGTGATGTAAGACTTAAAAAATATTTGAGAGAGCAATTAAAAAAATTCAATAGGAACACATTTATTAAAAAGTTAATAAGAAAATTGACATTCAAAAATAAGATGTTCATGATTTTCTACTCTATTAGAACATAGAACACGTGTATTATTATTATTATTCTTTCATCTTAAAGTGATGATATCACAAGTTTTAAACTCTTTTTAAATAATTTTGTAAGTCATAAAAATAAATTTAATGGCATAGCCTTTAAACCAAATAAGTTTGAACCAATCCACGTATGGAAAAGATTTGTATAACTAGAAATACACAAACTTATGACATTAAACATTGGTATATTTCCAAAGATAAGAATAAGAGTGAGAAATTTAAATACTACCAATATCATTAATGAAATCTTTAGGAGTATTTATGAAATGATCAATGTTCCAGCAATTATTACTTTAGACATCATTAATTTTAACATTAATAAGAATATTAAATCAAGTAAAATTAATGTCATCAAATTTACCGTTTAAAGATAAACCATTAAACCAAAGTTCATAAAAGAAAAATAGTTGACTAATTAGAATAATTTTTAAAAGTTAAAGTTGATCTAATTCCTTCAGCAACATTAACTAAATATTTCAAAACAAGAGATACTTTAGAACAAGAATACTTTCAAATAAAACCACCATAATTAAAGCACCACTTCAATAAAAGAGAATCATAGTTGTAAAATTTTCAAATGATTTTGGACTGACAAAAAATTATTAATAGTATCTAAAGATGGAAGCTCAAGACCACAATAATGCTTAGACATATGAACCTTATCCCAAGAAACAATATGAAGTTTTTTTTTAATCTTCGTTACTATGAATAAAATTAGATATCATTGAAAAATTTTATTTCTCAACTCTTTAGGTAAAATTGTCAAACAAAACTAATAATATAGATAAATCCAATTCATTACATAAATTAGTTAAAGCTTACCAGCATAAGATAAAAGTTTTTGATTTAAACTTGCCAAAAAACTATAAATTTTATCAATAAGAAAATAATAGTTATTAATGACAAGTTTTGAAGGTTTAATGGCAATACCAAACCAAAAAAAAAAAAAAAAAAAAAAGATGTAATAGAAAAACCTCATAACAAAGAAATATTACATTGAGTAGAGGCATCCATAGAATTAGAGAAGGCAATATCAGATTTAGAAGCATTTATGTAAAGATTGGTTGCTTCACTAAATATTTAAAAGGTATCGGTAATTAACTTAATGGAAAGAATATAAGCTTTTTCAAAAATTAAAATATCACCATCATAAATTAATTGAGAAATCTGAATAGTGTTTCTATTCAAATTATGTTCAAACATATCATAGAGCATATCCATAATAATGGCAAAAGGATAAGGCAAAAGCAGACAACCTTGTCTTAAACTAAAAGATAAATGAAACTAATACTTTAATTCACTATTATATTGACAGAAAAATTAACTTCAGTCATGCAAGCATAAATTCATTTTATAAATATAGGTGGAAAACTAATCATTTTCATCATATCAAATAAGAAATTCCTAATCATTTTATCAAAAGCTTTAGCAATATCCACTTTAACACAAAATTGTCTAGCAGAGTTAATAGAATTAGAATCATAAAGCAAATCATTAACAAAGATGATATCATTAGCAATATCACGTCCCTTAATATACACAGCTTAAGTCAGATGAATAATATTATGAAGAATAATTTTCATTTTTTTAGTTAAAAGAAAAATAATGACTTTATAAAAGGTATTACATTAAGATAAACGCCTAAAATCAAAAAATGATTTAACATCAGATCTTTTAGGAATAATAACAAGGGTTATATGTTTGATTCGTTGAGACAATTTAGCAGTTTGAAAAAATATTTAATAACAACAACACAACCTTCCCCGATAATATGCAAAATTTCCTTTAAAAATTTGGAGGTAAAACCATAAGGCCCAGAAGTCTTATTAGAACCAATAAAGAAAAAAAAAACATTCTTAACATTATCAAAAATGCTTTGATTAAAAACTTCACAATCCTCCTCAATTTTTTTTATAGGAAAAGTATACTGCTTAAAAATATATTTTTACAATTCTTATTAAGCAAACAAAAGTAAAAGATATAGCTTCTTTATAAATATCATCTTGGTTATGAGTACAATCATTATTAACCGAAATTTCTTTGATGAAGTTAGAATTATATCTAACTTTAGCTCTTTGAAACAGAGACTTAACATCATCCTCTCCCTTAGATAACCAAATAGGCTTGGCTTTTTACTTAGCCAATTTATAATCACAAGTAGTAGTTTTATAGATACTATTTTTGTAAGTATGAAGCACGAGCAAGAAGATCTTTAGAGAGAGGTGAATTATCTAGTTGAGAAAGAATCAAAATTTGCTTATTTTTAAACTCATTAATAAATTTAGATAAAATATTATAAGAATTCCAATGCCAACCTTTAAGTGCATGCTTAATATTTTGAGGTTATTGCAAAGATAAAAAAATAGGATCACCTTTAGCATGCATATTCCAAGCAGTAGTAACAACTTGTATAAAATTAAGACTAAGTGTCCAAAAGTTTTTAAATATAAATGTACAAAGAATTTTGTCCATAGAAATCATGATAAGATGATGATCAGAAGAAGAACAATTTAAAACCTTTAAAAAAGACTCAAGAAAAGAATTAATCGATAGAGAATTACAAAGAACTATCAAATAAACATCTAATGAGAGCATTGAGTTGGTTATTAAACCAATTAAAAGAATAGTCATAATTATGTGGCTCAAATGGGACCTACATTAGAAATATAATTATTAAAATAAAAAAATTTACTAAGAATAGGAGGTGATCCACCCACCTTTTGCTTAATAGATCTAATATAATTAAAATCACCCATCAACATCCAAGGATTAGACATATTATCAGCAATAGAAATAATAGAATCCCAAATATTTCAATTATTTGAAGCACAATTATTCTCATAAATAACAATAACAAAGAACTCAATAGAAGAATAAAAAGTGATAAGACGGTGAATAAATTAAGAATGTATATTAGTGACGACTAAACCGTAAATACTCATATTCCATTTAATCCAAATTATCCCATTATTAGAGGTATAATTTATCTACACGACTTTCACTTTAAAAAAAAGTTGCGCTAAAGCATAAGTATCAGATAAGGAAGAATATGATAATTTAGTTTCCAAATGACGAAGGAAATCACTCGTGATTTTTCAAAATGTTCTTACAATCCACTATCCAAGGTTCATTATAAAATTCCCTAACATTCCAAACAGCCAATTTCATGTACAATATAATTAAAAAAGGGGAACCATAACCAAGAAATATGATAGATCATTTAGATCTACCCTTATTGCTCTCGAAGAAACATGATTGTAAGAAGAATATATACTTCCAGAATGATTCATATTTAAATTATTGCCAATAGATGAAAGATTTGCATTGGAAATAAAAGTATTAGCAACTTTACCAACATTAGAACTTGAAAAAATTGTTGCGTGATAATATCAGAAACAACCACATTACTAGCAACACAAACATTAATAGCAACAATTTTAACATTGGCAACATTTGAACCAGAAATGACTGCAATCACATTAATATTAGAAATTTCCACAGTACTAACAATAATTTTAACATCAGAAACTGAAGTTATATCAACAGTATGATTATCTGAAATTGATGCATTAGATAATATATATATATATATATATATATAATATTATTAGTACTATAATCCAAAATGATAGTAGAATTATAATTAACAGTGAAATTAACCTCATTAAAAAGTGAAAGTTCTTATAACATAGATACTATTAGCTAAAGATTCATTACTAATAGTAGTATCATTATCATGGACATTAAGATTTGGGGCTATCATCGATAAATTAACCTTGACACTGTTAACATGCAGGGGTCCAAAAGTAAAAGTATTCACAGATTTATTTCAATGTCTTTGATTACCAAAGGCGCTAGTACTCCTATTATAATTTCTTTCCCTTTCCCTATTTAAAGGTGTAATAACATTTTCAACATTTGTAGAAAACTTAGGACAGTTTGATGGATTATGAGCATATGTAGAACAAACCTTGAAGGCATATCCAAGAATGGAGGATTCCATGGGGCAAAGCCTAAGAAATGCTATTTTTGTGTTTGCTATAATATTTTGGCTGGTATAAATATGAATAATAAATTTTAGATATAAAAAATTGAAAATATGAAATTTTGAGTGCAATGAATGTGAATCCCGAATATTTTTTCCCTCCCCGCACAGCCCAGGTGTCTGACCGCTTGATTCCCTTCCCCTCGGCCCTTCTCTGTCAGCCCGGTGCTCACTGACGGCGATGCTGAAGCCACCGGAGCACCAAGTGGCCGGTCACCATGCCAGAGATGGCCGGCTTGGTCCCCTCGTCGACGGCTCAGGCCTTTTCTACAAACCCCTTCAAAGCGACGACCGAGGAACCAACGAATTGACCTTCTACACTTCCTTCTCTTGCGAACCCCACATTCCCTCCCACATCCGCTCCTTCTTCCCTGGTTTCCACGGAACCCAGCTTCTCCTCGCCTCAGACGGCTCCGGTCTCCACCCGCACCTCGTACTCGACGATCTCCTTGCTGGCCTCCGTCTTCCCTCCGTCATCGACCTCAAGATCGGATCCCGTACGTGGTTTCCCTCTGCCCCCGAGGACTACTTTCGCAAGTGCCTCGCCAAGGACCGTGAAACCACATCTGCTCTCATTGGCTTCCGCATCTCCGGTCTTCAGATCAACAACAATGACTGCAGCTTCTGGCGTCCCAGCCACGACGTAGTACGCCGGTTTACCGACAAGGACGACGTCTGTTGTGTCCTCCGTCGCTTCGTTTCGTCCAATCTGGCCTCTGATTGTAAACCCGACTGCGCCTTCGCATCTGCCGTCTATGGCGGCTCGGAGGGAGTTCTTGCCCAGTTACGTGAACTTAAGGCGTGGTTCGAGGACCAGACCCTCTTCCAATTCTACTCTGCCTCCATCCTAGTGGCCTACGACGGTGGTGGTTCAGAGGATGATCGAGGCCCTGGCCGGGCGAGGGTGAGGCTTGTAGATTTCGCGCATGTTCTGGAGGGGAATGGGGTGATCGACCACAATTTCTTGGGTGGACTTTGCTCTCTCATCAAATTCATCTCCGATATTCTCAACGATTCCGACGAGAGCTCTGTAATCACTAGTGCTTTCTGAAGGGGGCTAACAAAATCCAGATTTCACCAAATAATGCTAACTAAGGCTTGAGTGAAGACGTTTCGGACAAATAGCCTTTTTTTCTGCTTATCATTTATATAACTTAAACATTTCCTGATTCCTGAGGCTGTGTGCTTCAGAGTCTTCAATCTATCGGTGAGATTTCTTGTCAATCTCCTCCCTGATTTTCTGATTTTTCATACATTGTTTATTGATAAATGATAATGGAGTGATAACTATTGTGTACTTTTCACGTGTACTTTCCTTAATGGAAGTTAGGTACTTGTGTCAAACAGATATAATTGGCTTTCTAAATTGCATGAAAGAAGGATACATTGGGGCCTATATTAAGCTAGCATTTCGGAACTTTTTCATCCATTAATTATCTTTTTCATTCTTTTTTAGTTGTAGATAAAATTAGCTCTATGTACTTGAAATGTTAATTTGGTTCGCAGGATGTTGATTGGCTTTACTAATGAAAACAAAGCTTAAACATCCTTTGTTGAATGATATAGAGATTGTAGATCCAAAAATAACTTTGGACTGAACTATAAATTTCGTATGTTTGTACATGAAATTCAGATAGCCATTATATTAGTTAAATTTCTTGTTTTCTCTATGTCCATTTTTACCTTTCAAGCAATAATGTACTCGACAACCAAATTAATTAATCATTGTTAAAGGGCAAAAAATATTCATTGATTTGTGCCTGATTTCATCACAATAAATTTATATTGAATCTGTTTCTCTCCTATTTGATGCAAATGTTCAGTTATGTGTTTTTCTAATTTGCAATGACATTAAGATTCTTAAGAAGCAATGACACTAATGCAAGATGTTCGGCAAAAATTAAGGAGTAATAGCTATTATAATATATAATGCAACTTGCATATGGTCCACATATAATTGCCTTTTGACCTAGGATAGATGGTGTGCAATTGAAACTAACATTGTCAGTTAGCTGCAAATAAACTGCATGATCCTAATCTACTTGTTCATCAATTTAAGAATTAGAGTAATTTAATATCATCTAATTTTATGACAATTGAAAACTTTATTGTTTATGAGGCTTCATCATAGTCCTGAAAGGCTCATTTGTTATTTGAAGATGAAAAATATATTTTAGAAAGCGAGAATTATTTTGGAGATTTGAGGAGGTTTGTGGAGTTTGAACTTAATGATAGGATCTAAATGTATCCAATCAAATGATTATTTTAACAAGCTTCATCATTTTCAAAACATAATTTCTAATTTCAAGCAATCAAATGAGACCTAACGAAAAAGTTAATGCATTCAAAGATAATAAAAAAAGGTAATTCTAACTCTAAAGTAGCATCAACTCTAAAGAAAATAAAAGTGTTTGTGTGATTGTTTTAATTTATCTTTTTTTTTTGTGGTTTCTGACTTTTGCAGATTATTTTTTACATATAAAAGTTCAAATTATTGACTGAGGATCTTTATATTATATGATTACTCGTTTTTATTATTATTATTTTTTATTATTGTTTTTTCAATGCTATAAAATTCCTTGTAGCTAATGACATGACCTATAAGATTGTTGGGATAAGGAAAATTTCGATTAAGGCACATGATGGACTGTGAAAACTATACTAAGCTCAAATATGTACTAGTTTTGAAGAAGAATTTTCTGCCTTTTGACTATTTGGAATCCTTGTATGTAGATTTATTATTGAAGGCAAAGTCTTACATGTTTTAAGGTATTACTGTTTTTACAAAGGCAAAGAAAATTGACAATCGCTTCTTCCTTTAAGGAAACACAATGATAGATGATGCATGAATTTCTTCCTCAAATGATTTGATTACTTTATGCGACATGAGTTTTAAGCATATATTAAAACCGGATATATTAGAGTTGAGCAAGAGAGATTTGCTATCACGAGAAGATAAGATTTTAGAGTTATGTGAACATGATATTCTTGATAAGCATCAGAGATTGAAACTTCTTATTAGAGTTTGCCATGACCAAGGGTATTTTGAATTATATGTAATCTAACTTGTGGTTTCTACTAATTTCTCAAGGTAGATATGCTTGTATGCTCAAGCAAAATAGTTATCTATTTGAGACATTTATGTGGTGAAAGGTTCAAATTGAAAAGCAAATGTGCAAGAAAATTTAGAGATTATTGCATGAAAATAGTTTAAAATCTTTTTCTTCCTAATTTAAGGCATTTTGTGAAATGGAACCTATTGTCAAGCACATGGCTATAAGTGGGTAGACCTCAATAAAATGGAATGTCAGTAAGGATGAACATGACACTCAAGAAAGTCGGTTGTCCAATTTTGGTTTGGTTAAGTATTTTTTGGTATAGTTTATTAATTTTACATGCTATTTGTTGAATGACATCACTTGTAAGATTATTTAGTTAACGATTATTGAGAAGATTGTCAGGTTATCTTTCAATATATTTAGTTATAAGGGTCTTTAGTTGTTTTGATTGTTCATACGTGAAAACCGGTGTGTTAGAGGTTGGTCTGAAGAAGTATATATTTCTAAGAAATGTAGATTGAGTTGAAGGAGACATGATTTGGTACATTAATCAGAAGTCACCTGAAGTTTTTATCATCAGTTATCCCAAGTTTGGTGTCTCAAACATACTTCAACAGACTTTGGTGCAAATTGAAAATTTAACAAGATATTAAGATGTAAAATGGCATCATATTTGAAGTGGAGCATGAACAATCTAGTGATTACTCATCACAACAAACTATTTTTTATTGACCTTGGGAGGAAGTAATACCACTATAAGAAGAAGCAATGATTGCTTCTCACACTACATTAGAACACCTCAAAGATTTTGTTATGATAATTTTTCAAGATCTCATATGATTGTTATGCTCTTTTTGTTGTATAGTTTATTGGTGATCAAGTATCGTGCACTTTTTTGCTGTATAGTTTATTGGTGATCAAATGTTGTGCACTTTTGAGGAACTGATCAATGGAAGAGTTAAAATAGTAGACCACAACTTTATATGATAGCGAAGCTGAAGTCTTACAAAAAAGAGACTTGTGGTGTTGCTTGACTTAAAGGAAAAAAGACTTGTGGGTTCAAATGACTCTTCAATCTCAAAGAGAGAACCTAGAGAAATGACAGTATTAGATACAATGTACGATTGGTTTTAAAGGAATATTATGAAAAGTAAGATGCGGGCTTTATGGAAATTTTCTCACATGCCAAGCATAATTATTTTTTTACCTAGTTAAAATAGTTGAATGTTAAGAAAAATTCTCTCTTGGTATTATAGATAAGGAGATTGACATGTAACATCCTCTTAGACTTGAAGTTAGATAAGGAGGTTCACATGTAACACTCGCTTAGATTTGAAGTTATAACAAAAGGAGGATTAGTTGTGTCTATTAAAGAAGTCACTATATGTTCTTATATGTTCTAACGTAGTCGTTGAGCAGTGGCACAAGAAGTTTGACAAATTTATTATTAGCTATTGGCTTAGGAGAAGCCAATTTGATAATTATGTGTACTACAATATATTGCAAAGGGATAAGTTTGGTCAAGTTGATTGGGAGGCGGTGAAATGGATTTGAATAATCTATAGAGGTATTACAACTTGTGGTTTGATGCTTGATAGAGATAGGTTTGAGTTCAATATTTTAGGATATTTTTATTGATATTCTGTTGGTTATGTTGACTGAAGATCTCTTTGGTCTATATCTTAGGGGCAGTTTATTTTGTGCGGTGCGTTTTGAAAACGTCGGGTGGCCTATTTGGTTACTGTGTTTGTGCTGCTTATCCTAATAAGCCAATCAAAGTTTTCTTATAAATGCGGTCGCGGGTTCGACCCGACGGCCCGCGTTCCTTCAGAGGACTATTACCCCGTTGCCCCTCTCGACCCCGTATCCATCTAACGCTTCTTCAATTCTGCGCCGGCTGAGTTCTTGGATTCGAGAATGCACAAAAATAGGTTGCAGGAGCTTTGTTAGAAGAGATCATGCGGTCAAGAGTATCCAACGGAGGGCAGGAGAAGAGAATCCAAAGACATGGCTAGCCTCCGTCTAGCAATGTACACAACTTTCTGGGACCTTACGTTGCCTCATTGCAGACACTTGACGGTGCCGCCCGCTTCTTCGTTGGCGAACTGGCGCTGTTCTCCGCCGCGCGAGCAAGCCACACTTTTCGGCCGCAACAACTCTCCTTCCCATGCCAAGTGTTCCCATTGGGCATCATTCCCTACTTGTTCCCCACTCCTCACAAAGAGCTCGACTCCTCCCTCCAATCTCTCCTCCTTGCCTCAGAGTTTTCCGAAATGTAAGTCGTCAGCTCTTGTCGATTATTAGAAAGTTTATGGCATAGATTTGGCTCTTCCCCTCTCGACATCTTTTGCCCGAAATCTTCTCTTTTCGAAGCTTTCTGCTTCGTCTCTTTGCGTGGAAGCTCATTCGGGGTAGGTTGACTGGGTGCGTTTGTTCCCTGGGTCATGAATGGGGAAACTTCTCCTCCCATATCTTTCTTCGCTGTGGCCTTGGCTGCGGTGTTTCTTTTTTTTTTTAGGTGGGTGTTGTGCTTTGTCAAGAGAGGTCTTGCGAGCTCCTCTTTCTTTTTTCTGGTGTCGATAAAACTCGGTGGGGAGAGTTCTCAGAGAGGTGACGAAGCTTGTGGCCTGGGGAGGTTCTGCGAAAATTTCTTCTCGGCTAGGTGTTTGCGAGCTTGGATTCCGGGAGTGCTGTGGTTGTGCTTGTGAGCTTGGAGTCCGGGAGTGTTGTGGCTTTGTTTGTGAGCTTGAGGTTTAGGAGTATCGTGGCTTTCTTTTGTTGATTACAGAAGCTTGAGCAAGGTATGTTTCCTCTCTGCTGCTCCTCCATGCATAGTGGGGATTTATTTTGTTCTTGATGACATTTAATGCTGGAATAATGACTAGATGTTAGATTTTAGCTTACTTCAGTTCAAATACATGCTATTAGGCCTGTTTTAAATATTCCATGGTACTTAGCTAAGAATGTAGGCTAATGAAAGACATGGTTTAATTCTTACGCATGTGTAAGCTTCCTCCTTATGTTCTTATCACATCTATGCTGGTATGTTGAAGTTTGAAGGCTGTTTTAGCCTCCTGGGCTGCGGTCTTTCTTGATGCCTGGGTTTAACATGGAGGATTTCTGGATTGTTTTAGCCCTATGGGCTGCG